TGAGAACATCTTTGTTTGTATGCCATCGACTCCCGGCCCCTCTGACCCACGCTCTCCAGCCCCTTTTGGGCAGCAACACATGCGTACACAGGTGAGCCTAGAAGTGGTCCAGTGCTGCTCCGCTGCTACCAGCCCCATGACCCCTCCAGAGGGAGACCATTCCTTCTTCTTCCCGAGCAGTTTTGGAAAACACCAAGCTGCTGCCACTTCTGGCACTAAGGATGCAGAACTGCAAGTGGGTCAGCAAGTGGAATTCTGCTCTGTCGCCACATCCCCCATGACCCCAAAGACACCATCAAGCACAGCTTTTCCAGTGCTAGTTGAAAAAAGGAGTTTTCAAGAAAAGAGTTTGAAAACAACTAAATGTACCGGAGAAACGCCACCAAAAGATGGAACTTTGAAAAGCGATTTGTCAAACAAGATGACTGAAAGCTTGAGTCTAAATAAATCTGTAGGTAGCTCCACCATAGGTCTGGCTACGACTAAAACAAACACCAAGGTAACCTTTGAGGACAATGCTCAGCAATGCAAACAACAGAGGATGGGGAGTATGGATCAAGATATTACGATCTTAGTGACTCACTATGGCAACAACCAGGAGGAAGGGGAAGAGAAAGCAGAGTCACATTTTCAGACCCTGGAACCTGAAATGGTGAAAATAGAAGAAACTGATGGAGGCGGACAAGACATCAGCAATATAAAGAGTGTGAACAGAAAGGAACCAGCCTCCCCAGTAGCCCCTGATCATGCTCAGGAAAAATCAAGCCCAAAGCAGAACCACAAACTACCAGAGGGGGTGAAGATTTGTACCAAAGCTGAAGATTCAAAGGCCATGGCACACAAAGCTGCACGAGACGAGCTGAAAGATGTTTCTATACCAAAATCTCCTGTCCCTGAATCCCCAGCTCCTTTTGGCTGCCACAACATCCGCACACAGGTGAGCCTGGAGGTGGTGCACTGTCAGTCTGTGGCCACAAGCCCCATGACCCCTCCAGAAGGGGACCAAGCCTTCTACTTTCCTAGCTCTCTTGGGAAATGTAGAGAAGCGGGCACCGAAACAAAAGATGCTGAGCTGCAGGTGGGTCAGCAGGTAGAATTTCGCTCCATTGCTACAGCACCCATGACTCCAAGAATGCCAGTAGCTACGATTTTTCCTGACATTAAGAAGGAGGAGAGCATTGAGGAGAAAATATTAGAGGAGAAAGAGGAGGAACAGAGAGAACATGTAACAGAGCACAAGAAGGACGCACTCAAAGAGGAGGAAAAATTAACCCAGAAAGAGAGCGTGGAAGGGGACACAAAGGAAGCAATTAACTTTACGGATACAGATGAGGAGAAGTCCGAGGAGCCGGTGCAGGAGGTAAACTGGGATGAGAAAGGAATGACCTGGGATGTGTACGGGGCTGTGGTAGAAGTAGCGGTACTGGGCACTGCCATCCAGAAACACCTTGAGAAACAGGTGCAGAAACAGAAGCAGCTGTCCTCCATGCCTCCCCCACCTCCACTCAACCCTTCAGCAACACCCCTCCCTTCAGATGCAGGGTGTGGGGGTTCTGGTAAACGCCGAGGGCGGAAGAAAGGGGAGCATGACGGAAAAGCAAGCCGGCGCAGGAGAAACCCGTTCAGGCTGTTGATGGAGAACGTACAGCAGCCACACTGCTGCTCCAAGGCTCACACTAACGAATGAAGAACAGCTGGCCGAGGAGGAGAGGCGTGTTAAAATATTCCATCTGATCTGCGTGGCTTTGATACTCTGATTTACAACAGCTTGAGTTTTGTGTTGGACAGGGGGATAGACAAATCACACCCTCACAAGAGACAAACAAGCTCAGAAAGCAATTACACACCAAGCAATGAAGCATAAAGAAGCTCTTTTACCTTTTACTTTGACATTGTTCTTTTACTAAAAGTTTTTGTAACGTCATTTTAAACAGATTGTCAGGTTTAATGGAGTTACTATGAGTGTGATGCATCAGTGTCATTGTTACGTTTGCTCTTTCTCTTTTATTTTCTACCGCTCAGCTCATTCAGTTATCCAGTGAGTCATTTCAGCTACTGATACTTTTTAATGTACCTCAGGCAAGTGACGCCATGGCAACAAGCTTTCTGTTCCTCCGGCTCATAGAACTGAAGCTGAGAGGGACGAGGCAAGTTTTAAAATGTATTTTCTGTGTTTTTCTTTTATATATAAGAATTTATCCTGATATAAGTAATCTTGACTTTTGTGAATTAAATTTGCCATGCTTTTGTGCAGCTCATATTTAAGTTTCAGCTACCTGGTAGTTTCCAAGCTTAGCTATGACTCATTACTGTATCCAAATGCAACGAAAAGTGTTTCAGCTGTAGACATTTGTAATGAAAATAGATTCTTTTTAGTGTGTTTTATTGCAGAAATCAGTGCAGTGTCAGTGTTCCCGCATTAACATTCATCTAAAGCCACAGTTAAGCAAATAATTTTTATTAACAGATTACACACACTGCAAAAAATGTAAATCTAAATAAGTCATTTGTTCTTAAAATAAGTGCATTTTTTTCTTAAATTGAGGAGGTAAGTGACACACTTTGCCAATGGAACAAGACAATTTACATTTGAAATAATAAAAAAAACTATTGCATTGTCTTATTTCAAGTGCATATTATCTAATTATCTTATTTTAAATGTAAAAATACTCATTCCATTGGCAAACTATCTCATTTACCTGCTCAAATTAAGGGTAAATACACTTGATTTAAGAAATTTTTACTTAATTTCAGATCGTTTTTGCAGTGCAAGTAATACAAGTCAACAAGCACTAAAATACTTTTTCATCAGCGCTTTGCAAAAAGTATCCAGGCAGCAAATGAATCAAACACAAAGGAAATATAGACAATCAGAAAAAGACTTTGACGGACCAATAAATAAGGGTTGTGATCATAGAAAGACATTGCACTTTAGTATTTTCTTACTTTTTAATTGGATTTATGTCTAAGCTTTAGCTGCCAGGAGATTTAACTTTGTGTGTTTACTTGACTTTTAATTGAGTTTATCCTGGGGCAAATAAAAGCCACCATTGCTTAAGACACTGAAGAAATAAAGTGATTTTATTTGCAACTAAAACATGATGTTTTGCATGCTTTGCTTTGTAAAAAAATGCTAACAAGAATTTGAAATTTTGGGAAAAGACTTTTTGCTTTTGTACTTTCATGCAACAACTTAGATATAGACCCATTGATGTGTGTTTATTATTCATTTTCTCCTGGTGTTTTACTCGTATTTGTCTGTAGGAATCTATATTCTGCATATTTATTACAAAAAAAACATAAAATGAGCAATCAAGGCGCTGTGTGGACTTTTCATTTATGTCTAAGACATACCTCAAAGACCAGCGCGAACTTCTTCAATGCTTGATGAAAAAATTAATTGATTCTAAAGCAAAACCTAAATTCAAAAGCAATCCAAATGTAGATACATATACTTTTTTTTTCCTGAGAAAAAATTCAAATAAAGTCAAGAATGTTGTGTTAAACCTTTTGTATACAGTTATCATTATATTTCAAATGTTTTAACAAAGACAATAAGTACGTTTGATTCGGTTTGCATAATATTTTCAATGGATATTACATTCCTAAACAGTTGAGTTACAGATCTGTCCTGTCAAACATCGGGTTGCCAATACTAATTTTAGTGTTGTTTTTGCTGTTTTTCTTATCCAGCTGGGCCAGCGCTGCACTCAGAGGCTCACTGTAGTGGAAAATAGATTATTTTCTTCGTCTTTCTTCTTCTTTTCTTTTAGCTTTGGTGGAAAAAAGATCCTTTTTATTGTGTTTTATTGCAGAAATCAGTGCAGTGTCGGTGTTCCCTCATTAAAATTCATCAAAAGCCACAGTTAAGCAAACTATTTTTATTAACAGATTACAAAAGTAATACATTCATCAAGCTGTCAACAGGTACTAAAATACTTTTTTATCAGCGCTTTGCAAAAAGTATCCAGGCAGCAAATGAATCAAACGCAAAAGAAAAATATAGACAATCAGAAAAAGACTTTGACGGACCAATAAATAAGGGTTGTGATCATAGACAGACATTGCACTTTAGTATTTTCTTACTTTTTAATTGGATTCATTTCTAAGCATCAGTTGCCAGGAGATTTAACTTTGTGTGTTTACTTGACTTTTAATTGAGTTTATCCTGGGGCAAATAAAAGCCACCATTGCTTAAGACACTGAAGAAATAAAGAGATTTTATGTGCAACTGAAACATGATGTTTTGCATGCTTTGCTGTGAAAAAGAAATGCTAACAAGAATTAGAAATTTTGGGAAAAGACTTTTTGCTTTTGTAGTTTCATGCAACAACTTAGATAAAGACCCATTGATGTGTGTTTATTATTCATTTTCTCCTGGTGTTTTACTCGTATTTGTCTGTAGGAATCTATATTCTGCATATTTATTACAAAAAAACATAAAATGAGCAATCAAGGCGCTGTGTGGACTTTTCATTTATTTCTAAGACATACCTCAAAGACCAGCGCTAACTTCTTCAATGCTTGATGAAAAAATTTATTGATTCTAAAGCAAAACCTAAATTCAAAAGCAATCCTAATACATATACTTTTTTTTCCTGAGAAAAAATTCAAATAAAGTCAAGAATTTTGTGTCAAACCTTTTGTATACAGTTATCATTATATTTCAAATGTTTTAATAAGGACAATAAGTATGTTTGATTCGGTTTGCATAATATTTTCAATGGATATTAAATTCCTAAACGGCTAAGTTACAGATCTGTCCTGTCAAACATCAGGTTGCTAATACCAATTTTAGTGTTGTTTTTTGCACTTTTTCTTATCCAGCTGGGCCAGCGCTGCACTCAGAGGCTCACTGTAGTGGAAAATAGATTATTTTCTTCTTCTTTCTTCTTCTTTTCTTTTAGCTTTGGTGGAAAATAGATCCTTTTTATTGTGTTTTATTGCAGAAATCAGTGCAGTGTCGGTGTTCCCTCATTAAAATTCATCAAAAGCCACAGTTAAGCAAACTATTTTTATTAACAGATTACAAAAGTAATACATTCATCAAGCTGTCAACAAGCACTAAAATACTTTTTCATCAGCGCTTTGCAAAAAGTATCCAGGCAGCAAATGAATCAAACGCAAAGGAAATATAGACAATCAGAAAAAGACTTTGACGGACCAATAAATAAGGGTTGTGATCATAGACAGACATTGCACTTTATTATTTTCGTACTTTTTAATTGGATTCATTTCTAAGCATCAGTTGCCAGGAAATTTAACTTTCTGTGTTTACTTGACTTTTAATTGAGTTTATCCTGGGGCAAATAAAAGCCACCATTGCTTAAGACACTGAAGAAATAAAGAGATTTTATGTGCAACTAAAACATGATGTTTTGCTTGTTTTGCTGTAAAAAAAATGCTAACAAGAATTTGAAATTTTGGGAAAAGACATTTTGCTTTTGTAGTTTCATGCCACAACTTGAATACAGACCCATTGATGTGTGTTTATTATTCTTTTTCTCCTGGTATTTTACCCGTATTTGTCTGTAGGAATCTATATTCTGCATATTTAATACAAAAAAAAAACATAAAATGAGCAATCAAGGCGCTTTGTGGACTTGTCATTTATGTCTAGCACATACCTCAAAGACCAGCGCTAACTTCTTCAATGTTTGATGAAAAAATAAATTGATTCTAAAGCAATTCTAATATATATACATATTCTTTTTTTTTCCTGAGAAAAAATTTGAAATAAAGTCAAGAATTTTCTGTCAAAACTTTTGTTTACAGTTATTATCATATTAAAATTCTTTAACAAAGACAATAAGTACGTTTGATTTGGTTTGCATAATATTTTCAATGGATATTACATTCCTAAACGGTTGAGTTACAGATCTGTCGTGTCAAACATCGGGTTGCTAATACCAATTTTAGTGTTGTTTTTGCTGTTTTTCTTATCCAGCTGGGCCAGCGCTGCACTCAGAGGCTCACTGTAGTTTGGTGGCTCTTCTTGTTTACTCCTCTGTAACATATAATTGTAAATTAGACTTTCTATTAATAATTATGAGTCTAAGTGAAGATAGACTTTAGGGTGCAAACTCACATTGTCATCATCACTGCCAATTTCATCCATGTCATAACTGTTCTCAGCTAGGTCAAGCGAGTTGAGGCTTTAGGAGAAAAAGTAAGAAAGCAGTTAAGAGGGTGTGGTTTTTAATTATAATTTTTAGTTTTTATTTAAATAACTGTCATGTACGGCTGGAAGCAAAAAGCCAAACATATTGTCCACATTGGCAGCGGCGAGCACACTGTGACAATATGTTCACATGGAAGCCATCCCAGATTATAATCCAGAGGATAATAAACCAATGAGATAATTTTGTTTTCTTCTTCTTTTACCTGGCTTTGTCCATGTCTGAGCTCTCCTCATTCAAATCCAAGTCCAAGGCGATACTGGTGTCGATGTTGAGGTTCAGCACTGGGTTGGCCCTATGACAGGTTATGATAGGTTATAGTTAATAAAGGAAGACAGAAGATAAAAAATGAAATATATAAACCACACTATAAACATCAATTCTTGAGGGTAAAAATGTGTAGCCATTAAAATATTCGCAATTTAATAAACCATTTGAATTTGGAAATACTTCTTGAATAAGGATTAAATCTCAACATAGAATATTTTATTTTGGACCCAACACTGTTCTAAAAAACATATTACTATTTAACAAAAGATTTTAACTCAATCAATAATTTTCTAATTTTTGTCATCTTTCATGTCCATCAGAAAACGGTAAATCTAATGTAATTATAAAGCTTAAAGCTACAGTGTGTAACTTTTAGTGACATCTAGCGGTCACACTGCAGACTGCAGCAACATGAACATCCCCCCCCCCCACCGCTTCTCCCCCCCCACAGTACGGCGAGCGTTACGGGACAAAATGTCTTCCACGACGTCCGCATCACCTACCTTCTCAAGTGATGAGGTTTGTTTACATAGATAATTTTACAGATAGTATTTCATTAGTCTGTGTAGGGTATAGATTTCATGTAGACTTAAGATAATAAATATACCCGTTATTTTTTCTATATCGTTGTGACGTTTTGGCGATCTCAAAATCGCTAGTTTGTTGGCTCTGCGCTGCCGTAGCGCAAAGATGTCTGCCTCCATGGCTGCGAGACCCGCTCCTATGTAATTATAAATAACGAATTCTAAGGCAACGCAAATATCAAGGTTAAGAGGCTGAGCTCGTAGATGATGATAAATAACATAGTTTTGTATAATATATTACATTTCTGACTGTATATCCCTGTAATTATTACACACTGTAGTTTTAAGAAAAAAAAAACTTTGGTAAGAATTCACAAGTCAGGTTGAAAGAGATTAAGTAGAAAAATATTCTGTGACGGGGAAACAATTTGTACTTCAGAGAGGTTTTAGTCCAGCATGAACTAGTTCAGCAAAAGTAGTAATGCTAATGGATCAATATCATTTAAATAAATAAAAAATTTAAAATTACATAAGGTGTGTGGTTAAGAAAATATCTCTGCCAGAGCAAGAACAGAAGTTTGTGTCAAGCATTCGGTCTTTAAGCAACACTGCTAAAGTAAAGTCAAGCACTACCTTCAAACTGAGCTTATTATGTCACTTGGTTCAAAAATGTTATAAAAATGAAGCAGATGATTTTACAGAAAGAACAAACCAGCAACAGTCATTAGTTTGTCAATCTCTCAAAAGATAATAAGTATCAGTTTAAGGAATGTATCATTTTTTTTATTCTTGATAAATTAAAAAAATACATTTTCAAAAAAATTACTCATGCTCCTTTAAAAAATGTTTGAGTAATTTTCTTCTTTCTATTTCAGCAATATAACCCTTCATACCAACGTGGACCAAACTTTAATAGATTTTAATTCCATGGCTTATTTATCATGTGAGAAACTTTAAAGATCATTTAAAAATCTTTAATTTACAAGAGGCAGGAATAATTGGCAGATATCTCCCTAAATTATTTAACATAAAACAAAATAACGAGCACATATTTTTAATCAAATAACAATTTGATTTGACAGATGGAGATAGGTAACCTGACTCCGCCAGATGGATTTGCTCCACATATCCATCTGGAAACCTTCCGTTGAAGTAATTTTGGGAAGGGGCGAAAATACTGGTTAGCTGATTGGCCTATGTTGGTGATAGACGGGCCAAATAAACCAATCAGATCAACGAAGCATATGACGTACTAACAGAGCGACGACTAAAACACAACCACAAGCCAGGCTACTCTTCCTGCTGCAGGTAAAGGCTCGTTAGCTCAGCAAATAAGCAACATGTCGGCAAAGGATATTTGTCGTTTGCTTCTTTCAGTGAAGAAATACAGTATAATAAAACTTGGTCGATAGCCACGCTAACGCTAGTTTCACCGGCTGAAGCCGCCATGTTCTTTATACTGAACTGTCGCGCTTCTCGTTTCGTCACACCTCAACCCGCCTCAAAGCCAACGCTGATTGGACGTTCGTTTGGTGAACTGCTCCAAATTTTCTTTAACGGAGAGTCTCCAGACTGATCTGCGAGTGAAACCTTGAAAACTCGCGAGATCAGGATGGTCTCACGAGGCTAGGAGATACACCAGACTCCCTCATGACCCCGCTTGTGGTAAGTGTGATGGAAAATGGACGGATTATAATTTTAGTAAATATATTTATCAAATGTAATGTTCTTAAGCTTACATATATTTTTTTTACTCATAATCGGCCAAAAATAAATTAAGACATACTTTCATAGGAGTTTTATTGGTCAAATTTGAACAGTTGTTTTGGCAATGCTATCAACATTAGTGCCATAAGGGAAGGATTTGCATCCCTATGTTAATTGCTGATGTAGGTCGGAGGCAGAACACATTTGGAGTAAATTACATTAATGTATTGAACCTCTATATAAAAGTTGGAACCACTAGAACCCTTTTACATGTGTGCACACACCCCAGCTATTTTGAAGTGAACTAGATATATCATATTGCTAAAAAACTCACCCTTCCATGGTGTACTTATTGGTTCCAGGCACTACGGCTCCACCTTTCTGGTTATCAGCATCCATCATAGATGCAGATTTCATGGCGTTCGCTGCTTTCAGCTTTCTTCTGTAGCTGTAATTGTAAAACAAGTTACATTAGAATAAAATTGTACAGTTAATTGTTCAATATGGCATTTTCCCAGTTCTTTTTTCTTACTTTCTGCGAGTACACAAAAGCGAGGTGAGGAGCACAACCAGCACAATGATGAGGCCTGCCAACACTCCCAGCAGAGCATATCTCACAGGATCTGCTTTGTTTTCTTCCTCAAGTTCATTGCCCTAAGATAACAGTAGCATATGTATCCTTATTATTTATACAGATGTAAGCTAACAGTTTTACTTGTTTTTCACTTTGGGAAAAAACATTACTTAAAAAAAAAGCAGCCTCTGAGGCTAAAGGTACTTACAATATTCAGCAGGCCCAATGCATTTAGTTGTGGAAAATGTCCAGGAGCAGAAAGCCTCTTTTCTACTTCTACAGAGTTTAGAGCTGTTCCATTTAGGAAGATGAAATATGCTTTCATGAGACACTGCGCGATATTCCTGAGCAAAAACAAAAGAGAAACAACAACAATTATAGGATTAGTTTATAGGATCAGATCAAAAATCCAACAGGAGTTTTAAAGGTAATTAAAGTCCATTTTTGAACCTCTATTCCCTACTCTGATCCTATAAATATCTTAAAAATATTACTTTGTTAATCTAGTAATCAAAATGAAAAAGAAAAAAAGTATGTTTTTTTACCTTTCAGATTTTAATCTGTGATTTTACTTTAGATATTAACTGTAAAAACTTACCTAGATACTGGAGGATCCACCTCCGTAATTTCAACAATTTCAATCACAGTGCTGGTGGCTGCTGTAAGTTCCCTGGATGGTTTATGGACGAAAAGGATTAGATCAGAGTATTTATCCTTATACTGCACTTCTTCAAAGTTTCGTTTGATAAAATTTTATCGACAGAAGAAATTTACCTGGTGATCTCATCGAGATTGGCTTCCACTTCTGCCTTAGTAGTTCTAAACTGTAGAATGGTGTGGAAGCTTTCGTCAATGGTGAAAATCTGCACACACGCACAAAAAAAAAACAAGTTTAAAAATAAAGCAGTTTTTAAACTCTTGTCTTTGTGTGACGTAGCTTTGAAGATCATGCATTGACAGTCCCTCACCTCTAGGACAATGGTGGAGGAGAGACCGCCCCTATCTGTTGCACTCACTGATACCAAATATTTTCCTTTCAGGGTAATTTGAAGCCCTTGTGTACTCCTGTAGAAAGAGAAAGTACAGATATCAACTCATAATATATCATTGGGATCAAAGTCAACAACAAGTAATTTCTTTTCTAAAAAATTTTAAGAATCAGGGGTCCAGAGAGGAGTCGAGATGTTTTGCACTTACTGAATTATACCAACATAGTTGTCCTCTTGTTGTGTTGTGACTGCTTCAAAAAGCATTCCCATGTCAGAAGTTTCGTCTTTATCCATGTGCTCGAATAGAACTTTATCCACTTTAAAACTAATCTGCCTGTTTGTCCCAGAGTCCAGATCTGTAGCCTTGAAGCAGAACCAGAGGCTTAAATATACATGTACAGATAAGAGCTAACTTATAAAAAAAAAAATGCTATTTGTTTCGTTACTAAACTCACTGTGACTCCTGCAACTGATGTTCCTTTGCTTGCTTTTTCTGACACCACAACTGAAATGAAAAGAGCAGATAAAGGAAACAAATTGTTAGTTTTTTTTTTTTTTTTGGGGGGGGGGGGGGTTCACATATATTGTTTGCATAGATCCTTTTTATCCTTAGAAAATGTGAACATTTCTGAATTATTGTTTGTTTTTATTGTGATTTATTAAACCATATTTAGGAAGCTGTTATATGTCAGTGCAAACATCTTTTTGGCCAAAATTCTAAAATATGCACAATTATTGGGACGTCCGATAATCACGGGACCAACCACCGGTGCCGCCGGGTCTCTGGTCCTAGTATTATTAGATGTGAGTGTTATGTGTGAATGCGTGTCCGCATTTTGTTTTTTTTCTACTTCTTCTGTGGTGCGAGTGGGGGCACTAGGGTGGGAAGGCGTGATTGAGATTGTGAGTTTTTTTTTTTCTCCCAGGTTGGGGTCTGAACTGCCCCCTCTCCCAAACATATCTCAAGTCTCCTCTAAGTGCGGAGCCCATTCAAGGTGTTGCTTTATTGTATGTCTCTACCATGTCTTTCGGTTGTGCTGTTCTTTTTACATCTCGTTGCAGGTGATGAAGCAGACTGAAAATGTTTTGTCATTGTCTCCTTTCTATCTCTTCTTTCTTTCATCTTTTCTCTTTTTTTCTTTTTTCTTCTTCTGTTTTTCTGTTCTATTTACATTGCAGTGTCCATATAAACTGTAAAACTCCCTGCATAATTATAATAAATCAGTTTTATATGCATGAAACAAGTGTAGCAATATGGCAATTGCCATATTGCTACACTTGTGAAAGTAAAATCTGTTGGGCTCTTTTTGGCATCAATACAAAAAATATGCACAATTAACTTTTATAGTTTTCTGAAAATATAAAATAATGCTTAAAAACAGAATTTAAGTTATTTGCTATGCAAGATTATAAATATATAGAACATTTTGCCACACAACGGTATATATTTTACGTGATGATGATGATGATAAAAAATGTATTTCAATTTTGTAGGATACATTTAAAAGGGTTTTGCAAATAGTTTTAGCTATTCTTTGCAACAACAAAATAAATAACTAATAAAAAAAAAAAACACCTCATCCCATCTGCAATATTGTGAAAGCTAATATAAATCAACAAGTTGAAATAAAAATATGTTTTGGAACATATAATTCTAAATACATTTCATAAGAAAAAAAAGAGTCCAACATCTAATTCTTTTCTTGTTTTTGACACATAGGTCTGGTAATTATTTATTTTGGACTTTCTACAGCTGTGTAAGACTGACATGTCAATATTTATAAAATATAAATTCTGACTTAAGCCAACAAACCCTAAAGGAATAAAGAAAGCTGCAACACTATTTTCAAAATATAGAGCAAAATTGGAAGCATTCATTAAACTCCCATTTAAAATCAATGCTTAGCAGAGTTGCTTGAATTTAACTCTGCAGTTTAACAACTTTTAACTTCTGCGACATACAACACCAACACTGGGAATCTAACACAATGCATTTGTGTATAAATTGATTAGTTATTTGTGTCCTTTTCATTTGTGCGCTCTTGTTTACTTGAGACGGATTGAAGTATCTTCAAAAAATGTTCTAACATTAAAAAATAGCTTTTTTAAGCATTTTTTTCCTAGGAAGATTTCTTACCAAACACAGTGTCTGGGTAATGGAATTGAGGAATGTTGTCATTTATGTCTTCAATGTTAATCACCAATTGTCCTGGAAGAATCCAAAAAAATAGAAAAATACATTTTATTTAGGATTTTCATTTTAAGTAACACTAATAGCCTGTAATCATCCAAAGTCTGACCTGGTGTAAGACTGTTGTTCCCTCCCTTTTCTGTGTACTCATCCACCACTTGAGCCTCTACCACTGCCTGGTCACATTCCTCGTAATCCACAGTCTGGGCTGGATTGACTCTAACGTCCCCAGATGGATCGAGGGTAAACCAGCTGCAGTTTTTTATTTCCTCACTGCATCTGCATTTGACAGACATCAGCTCGTAGACCAGAGAATGGTTGGTGTCTTTATCATGTGCTATGAACTTCCCAACAGGCTCACTCATGGTGGTGTTCTCTTTCACAGAAACGACTGGGGTTGATGGGAACTCTGGTCTTTCGTCGTTCACATCCAAAACCTCAACTTCCACCGTCACTGAGTCTTTCTCCTGCTCCAGATCTGCAGCTTCTATTCGCAGTGTGTATTTCTTTTGTACTGATTCGTAGTCAAGCTCAATGTCTGGGTCTACCGTGATGTTCCCCTGGTAACCCCCCTCCACTAGAGAGGTTCTAACAATGAAGCTGCCAAAGCTTCCTTCAATGATACTGAAAGAAATGCGGTTGAATTCAACTGTTTGATCCTGATCTGTAGCTAGAATAGAACCCACAAATGCACCTGAATGGTTGGATAAAAGAAAATTATTATCATCATTTTTCAAAGACAGTTGGAAATTAACTAAATGCTTTTAAAAGTGTAGTACTTACCTTTTTCCCCTTCTTTAACAGAAAAACTGTAAGACTTTTCTTTGAATACCGGCTTGTTGTCATTGATGTCCTGAAAATCATAAGAGGAAAAAATGAAATCTTATGCACTGTATCGTATAAAAATATTTCTAATATATGATACTTTTTTATATAACTACAGGCTTTATATTATAAGAGTTTTCATAAGAGCAATTGATGTAAGGTTAAAGTAAAATTTAATACATTTTCAAACATTTTCACAACTCTGGTTTTCACTGAAATTTTACAAGGGTACATTTTGGTTGGTAAATACCTAAAGCACATGTAGAGAATTTCCCTATTCTTACTGCAAAACATCTTTACAACTTTCCTTTTTGACAGTTTTCTAACCTAAACTGTTCTCCTCTAGTTTGGCCATGTAGCTCCTCAGCTAATTCAAGGTTTACCACAGGCCACTTGATTTCTTATTTAATTAAAAAGTTGGAAGATGTATTAGATGTTGCTTTGTTAGCCTCCCCTGCTTTAATTTTTTTTTTTTTTTTTGCATTCCTTTTAAATATGTGATGTCTGCTGTGTCTCCTCAAATACAATCACACATTAGAAAAATGAAAAATCTCTGAGAGCCTACCAGGAGAGCTGTATATTAAACATTTTATTGGTAAAGTGATTGGTAAGGTGCCTAAAAGCAAAAATGACAATAACACTTACCTCCACATTGATGACAACGGCGGCAGAGCTGGATAGGGCGGGTGTCCCCTTATCAGTGGCTATCACAGTGAGTTCAATTCTGCCATTGGCTGCTGGATCCAAAGCCTCGCGATCCAGAGCACCATTGTTTGTTAAAATGCCGGTAACTGGATCAATGGTGAATTTGGCACTGTGTGGGCTGTCTTTGATACTAAATACAATTTCACTGTTTACTGAACCAATTTCATCTCCATCTGTAGCCTAGAAAAAACAAAAGCAATTGTTAAGGAATTGCATATATTAATACATTTTGAACAAGCAGATGATAAACACATTTTGAATTATTTTATTCATTACTAAATGGGAATCTCAAAAATATCCCACTAATGAAATTTCAAATGCAATAGTATATTTAGTGCTGCAAAAGTCTGTCACACCTAGAAACTAAAGAGAGATGGGTTAGAAATAAATTTTGTGTAATGTCTGTCCGGTGTGTGGGCAGATGTAAAAACTGTACTAAATCAAAGCAATCAATTAAATAATATTCCTTTTTGGCCAATAATCTAACTCTTAATCATATAAGAGATTAAAAATTCTGAAGCCTTTAGCTGTGGATTTCCTCCTCCAGTTGCATTTCACAATCACTCCTTTAGGGTAAGTCATGTTTAATGTTTAATATCTTTGATGCGTTTTGTTAGAGAATCATTACATTTCTATTAAGTGTAGCTTTAAAGTCTTGTTTTGATCAAAATGATTATCAAAATGCTAAACTTTTAGGATTTAGGACACAGGGCCATGTCAGTAATTTGGGAATGGCAAATGTTAATTTCTATGTGCATCAAAGAAAATTTGCATTTAGCACATGAATTGTTTTCTCAGAAAGGCAGTGGAGCTTTTGACATGAAAACAACACCTAATGTTTCAACAACAACAAAAATCAGTATAATTCAACAGATATAATAAAATTAAAACAAATGACCTCATAAATCAAATTTTATGTAATACATAGATGAAGGGACATGAAAACAGAAAATAAATGTGCTTTGTCTTTATTTAGATAAGCATCTTGCCTTGTTAAATCAGGAAAAATAGTGTCTGTTTTAGTTCAGATTTGTGGCAAAGTAACCTAAAATCAATCTCATCACTAAGTAATTACCAGTGATGGGACTAACGGCGTTGAAAGTAACGGCGTTACTAACGCCGTTACCTTGTTTTAGTAACGAGTAATCTAACTGATTACTTTGACTGTAACTATAACGCAGTTACCATTGCAGGCACCCCGTTACTGCGCGTTACTTAGGTCGCGCAATGAACCTTTTTTCATGATAGGACTCGTGCGCAGCTGCGTGAAGCTGACACCCCACCCACGTCAAAAAACTCTGCAAATAGACTGAATGGTTAGTGCAACGTTAGTGCAGATTTGTGCAGAAAAAAATATTGTTTGTGCTACTTTTGTTTAAGAGATATTAAAGATTATTTTTTTAGGTCATCCAGAGGTGCGCGCCTTGTCATGAGAGAGGGGAGGATGAGATTCCGTCTGTCAGTTGAATAGGTGGGTGTTTCTGCTGGCGGGTGTTAACGTACAGCACACACAGAGAGATGGAGAGTGAGGATGACTCCAGCAGCAAAACAGCGTTTTCCACATGGAAATACCGGTGTTACGTAGAGCTGCGTTTCCCCATCACATAACGGTTTCCTCTGCATCTCCACACAGCGCAGGCGGCACGAGTCACCGCGCAAGCGACAGGAAACGCGCATGCTCGCTAAAGGCGCGCAACAGTCGCTCTGTGCTCGCGCCACAGGAGAAGTATGGAGAGCGTGAACGATCAAATGAACCTGACAACAGCCAGAAATGATAGCCTATATGGAGAAAGGGAGAAATCTGGATGGATGGATGGATGGATGGATGGATGGATGGATGGATGGATGGATGGATGGATGGATGGATGCTCTGCCTTCTCAACCTACTGTATTTTTTATTTTAAACATTATTTGATGGCCTTTGTGGCAGGGATGGAGATCCATATTTTATGTCACACACAGAGTATACATCTAGATAGATAGATAGATAGATAGATAGATAGATAGATAGATAGATAGATAGATAGATAGATAGATAGATAGATGTTGCAGTATCTATAACAACCCAAACACACAGGATTTCAGAATTAGACATCCCCAGTTATTAATTTCATATACTCACCAGATCTGAATGTCCTGTTATAAAACTTCACATCGCGTTCCCCCTGATGTCATTTACGTTGAGTTGCAATAAATGCTAAACTGTCTGCAGGTTCTTGTCTTTGTCGTCCTCTCTATTCAGCTGGCTTTGGAAACACACGGCGAGAAGGTGGGGGCTGGGTGGTGAGGTTTACGGGGGCGAGAAACGCAAAAGTAACGCAATAGTTACTTTTACTAGTAACTAGTTACTTTTATTGTGGAGTAACTCAGTTAGTAACTCAGTTACTTTTTGGGAGAAGTAACTAGTAACTATAACTAATTACTTTTTCAAAGTAACGTGCCCAACACTGGTAATTACACTTCAGCACCTTATGATGGGAAAAAGCGAAGAGCTCTGCCTACTATTGTAGAATTACTGATGAACTTAAAGGAATAGTACACCCAAAACATGATTAGCCTTCATTTTCTACTCACCCCCATGCTGAACAACACTCTGGAGTACTTTTTTGATATCTCAAATGCATCTGGAGATCTGGGAGGCTTCTTGCTGTCTGCTGACATTCAAATAATGGAGGTCTATGGCGCCCGAGACAGAAAGGTCCATAAAAGTCCATAAAAACGTGTCAATATTCCTCCATACTGCTCGTCCAATGTATTCCAAGTGTCCTGAGTGGGTAGCGTCCATAATTTACTCGAAACGAAGTCATTTAGAATGTTTTTAGAGCATAAACAGTAGTGTATAGGATTTCCTAATAGCGCCCCCATGCGCGCTCACGGCGCTACGGAAGCCGGCAGACCAAACCAGCGCATTCAGCTCGGCAAAGAACTCATGCTCTTCCTCAACACTGAAGTCCTCAGACATTTTTCTTTCGTTGTTTCTTTCTTTGCACAGGTAAACAGCACATTTCTTCTTCTACGCTTGCATTATCGGCAGAGCAGACGCTGAATGCGCACTTCCTTCCGGTTTGGTCTGCCGGCTTCCGTAGAATCGTGAGCGCGCATGGGGGCGCTATTAGGAAATCCTATACACTACTGTTTAGGCTCTAAAACGTTCTAAATGACTTCGTTTCGAGTAAATTCTGGATGCTACCCACTCAGGACACTTGGATTACATTGGACGAGCAGTATGGAGGAATATTGACACGTTTTTGTGGACTTTTGTGGACCTTTCTGTCTCGGGCACAATAGACCTCCATTATTTGAATGTCAGCAGACAGCAAGAAGCCTCCCAGATCTCCAGATGCATTTGAGATATCAAAAAAGTACTCCAGAGTTTTGTTCAGCATGGGGGTGAGTAGAAAATGAAGGCTAATCATGTTTTGGGTGTACTATTCCTTTAAGGGGTCCAATGAGACTAGCTTGTGCCATGATACAGAGGTGGATATATAACACTATTTTAGTGTGAAAATAATAACAGGAAGATATTCTTTAAGCAAACTAGTGAAACACTAGGAAGTCTTAGCAAATAAGACCAAATACATGATTGTTTGAATCTGTAGAGCTGTGTTTCAGTATAATGTACTGCCTGACTATTATGTAATTGTGTGATTAGAGAAAACTGAAACAGAAATTAGATTAACTTTAGGACTAAGCAAGAGTAAACTGGTTTTAGGGAAAGCAACAAGCAAAAAAAGCAAATTAAATCCATGGGATTGAATCCATTTGAAAAATATCAGAAATTATAGAAGCTTCACTTTTAAATTAAACATCTAAAAACTAAGATAAAGATGTTTTTTTCAGTTCTTTATTTTTTAAACCAGACTTAATCAACTGAACTGATTACATTCAATATTGAAGTTAAAACCAGTGATGACTTTTATTCTAACTACTAAATTTCCATTAGTGTTTGAACCTGGTTTCCTCTGGTATTCTACTTTAACACTAATAGTAACTTTTACAAATATTACTGTTTTGTTCTGACACTTATACAGATGTTTGAATCATTACCCACAGCTAATGTGAAGGTCATGTCAGTAAGGCCAGAGGAGACATAAAAACACTGAGGAAAGTGTAAATACCTATTCCCCTGGAGTCATATCATACTTTATATAGAGCTTTATAAAGTTAATCTATACGTAACCTATACGTGTGATTCGCACCCTTAAAGTGTTGATATTATAATGTTACAGTTCTTTTTGGATTTACCTCTATCTTTTCTTGAAGCTGTCCACCCTCTTTGACAAACTGTGTGTATTCGGGTCTGTTGATGACTGGCGTCTTGTCATTAATGTCTGTTAAAGTGATCTCCAGCAACGCGGTGCCGGGCTTTCCATCCGTGTCCTTGGCTTGCAAAGTAGCTGAATAGAGAGATCTGAGCTCACGATCCAGCAAATTCTGGTTTTTCACAAAGACTTTTCCTGTGGTGCTCTCAACATCAAAGTAGTCCAGTCTGAAAGATAAAATCCAACTGCTCAATGGTGCTGTTTGGATTTTCCCACCTAGTTATATAACCTAAACAGAATCCAAACAGAATTAAAGTGTAAACATACATGCTGTCTGGTAGAAGGCTGTAGGTGATTTTGCCTGCATCCATTGTGTCGGGATCTGCAGCCTAGAAAATGAATCGGAAGCTTTTTAAGTTAAATTTGAACAAAATTCGATCTACTAGGAAATCAAGATGACTAAGGACTTACTGTGAGAGTGGTAACCTCTGTCCCAACAGGAGAATGTTCAGCCACATTCAACTTGTATGTGTTCTGTGGGAACTTGGGGATATTGTCATTGGTGTCCTTTATTGTTATTGTAACTGTGGCGGTGGCCTGAAAGGTTGCTTCTTTCTTATCTACAGCAATCACCTGCAACATGACACATGCATCTGAAAAAACTGGCTCATATTTAAAAAAAATTGTGCTTACAGACATCAAGTGTTTGAACGTTCACTTTTACCTGAACAACCATTTGTGTCTTAACTTCAAAATCCAGGTTTTTAGGCTGTTTGACAAGAAGCTGAACAATGCTGTCTGATTGAGCCAGCGAGGGTTCCAAATAAAACACATCCTTATCCACTCCGTCCAGCCTTAGCTCAGTTTGCACAAGCTGTAGGATAATAAATAAGCACATCGCTAATTATTACTGTCTCTCTGATTTTACCACTTATTCCAAATGCATTGTTCTTGTTTCTCACTCTGTCTGGATCTTTGACTGTCATTCCAATGTCAATGGCGCCCAGAGAGTGTTCAAAGACCTCGCCTGTGAACTGAGTGTTTTCCACGCAGTCCGTTGTACATTTGTAAAACTTGGGTGGGTTGTCATTGACGTCGCCGATGTTGATCTGGACGGTTGTTGTCACAGCGGCGGGTTGTCCATTGATGTTAAGTTTAGACTCAGTGGCCTGCAAGCAAAAAGGTGCAATTAATATTTCTTTCTCAACTTTGGTTTTGTGTCTTGAGACAAAGCTTCAATTTAGTTTTTTTCTACTTTTAAAATAAATTAGCTCTGATAAGTTGAAGACAGTGTATCAATCTTAAATTTTCAAATTTTCACTGGACCCTTTTCCTCACTGAACTCAACCTTAAAGGGATCCAGTCACGTACTTTGACTTTGCAAATTCCCATGATAGTAACTCACTCAGGTATGGAGTAGATTTTGTTCCACTTATATTGAAGGGAAATAGAATAGAATAGAATAGAATAGAATAGAATAGAATAGAATAGAATAGAATAGAATAGAATAGAATAGAATAGAATAGAATAGAATAGAAAAGAAAATACCTTTATTGTCCCACAATGGGGAATTTCTGGATTCTAGAAATAACATGTTTTGTAAATCCTGCAATCCTGAAATGAAACTTATAAAAAAGTCCTTAGGTTCTAAGAATAACTTTGATGTCTTCTTAGGTTTTATTTAAAAAAAAAACACTAACACTTGTTTGACATGCACATTGACCAATAAAAATGTTGCTAGCATCTTCACGCCTAACTCCGGAGGAAAGCCCGCCCCCATAAATGAAAGAATGTGATATGAAAAATGCAACCTGAAAAGAAAGTCAGAAAACTCAATCTGACAAAGAGAAGTATAAAAATAATAATAATAAAAAAATACTACATGAAGAAATAGAAGACTAAAATTATTTTGAAAAAAAAATTACGATTTGTGGGGAAAAAAATACATAAGAAAAAAACTGGATGGGGGGGGATAAAAATATTTGAGAAAACAGCAAAGTTACTCTCAAAACTACGACGGAGTATTAGGGCCACACATGAAGAGAAAAAATATTTTTGCCATGACGGGATTAAACTCGACATGTCGACTTTAAAAGTCGACATGTCGACATTAAACTCAACATTTCGAGAATAAAGTTGAAATGTCATGTTGAGTTTAATCTCGACGTGTCGACTTTAAACTCGCCATTTCGAGAATAAAGTTGAAATGTCATGTTGAGTTTAATCTCGACGTGTCGACAATAAAGTTGAAATTAGTTCAAGAGAGCCAACCGCTGCACAGGATACATGCACAGAATCCAGAATCAGACACGCCTTGTGTAGATGATTTGGTCAAATTGTACTTTCTGTGATGATTATACAGTTATACAGTTGCAGCACGTCAAAGACTACCTTCACTCTTAAAACGCAGACTGCAGCTGTGGAGCGCGGTTGCTCTTTTCTCCAAACTTTGGAATGTCGAGATTAAAGTCGCCACGATATATCAACTTTATTCTCGAAATGGCGAGTTTAAAGTCGACATGTCGAGTTTAATCTCGTCATGGCAAAAATATTTTTTCTCTTCATGCGTGGCCCTAATACTCCGTCGTACAAAACCTTTATGATTAAGAATTTTTTTTTAAGTTTTATCTTAGGATTTTCAAATTGCCATTAAGAAAAGGTGTTTTGTTTGCAACAATAAAAGAATAGTATTCACAGCATAGATCAAGTGTGAAATCGAATAAAAAATATTTGAAGCCAAGACACATAAAACAAAGCAGTGCATGAAGTATAATAAGACCTTGTGTGTTTACTGAAGAAGGTGCTACTGAAGCTTTTACATTGATGGATGCATGACTCAGGACTGTCAGCAGGTGGCAACAGCATACAACTGGTTTATGTCTGCTGATTGTACCCGTTCCAAGAAAATATTTTTAAGCCAATAAAGGAAAAAGTAAACATTATAAGGACGAAAGCTTGGCATATATTTGCTTTTTGTGTTGTTTTTTTTTTTTTGTGTTGTTTATAGGCATATAAAGTAGTACTCCTGATGTGTAATTTGTTACCTTCACAGTCAGAGTCACAGTATCTCCAGTAGCTTCTCTGTCAATCGCAGTTGCTACAGATATGATGCCATTTGATGAGATTTTGAACAAACCAGCAACTGTGGAACCTTTAAAAAAAAGAAGGAAAATAAGTTACTTTCTTTATGCCTATAGATCACAAAGTGAGGCATTTTTTGTAGCTACCTTCAATGGAGTAGATGATTGCATCATTGATTCCCTTGTCCTGATCTATTGCTGTCACTTGTAACACAGATGTGTCCTAAAATAGGGAGGAATTTAAGTTATAACATCAAAAGCACTTGATTTACAACACAAACTTCATTGTGTGGCATTTTAAAGTGAATTGAATGTAGATATGGTGAACTTTGTCAGTCTAAGGGACATAGATTTATTATTTAGAAGCAGTGTCACTTACCACAGGGGAATTCTCTTCAATGCTTCCTATATACGGAGCAGTGAGGAAAATCGGGTCAAGATCTGCGATGTCCACAACAGTAAAGAAGGAGATGGTGTTGGATGACTGGAAAGTGGTTTCTGAAGAATAACAAGAGCCTCCACGATCCTAGATGATACACAGAGAGCAAAGCAGGTCATGATAAATAGAAAACTGAATTATTAATTAATAATTTATTGGAATCATAACAACACCAAAAGTAAACTTAATTCTATGAAAGTGCAGTGCCTTTTGTCACTTTAAAAACAACAACCTCAATGTATTCAATGGCAGTTTAATTATTCCTGAAGGTTTGATGGAAGTTTTTCTAACTTTTGAGTTCAACCTTCTAAAACGCAAAAGTTCATTTACTGTAGATGCCAATGCTCCTAAATATTAAAACCAATGCCTCTAAGGTCATCACCCAGTAAACACTGTGCTCATGTGAAGGAAGAAGATTTGATCAGATGAGATAAAAAGTGCATAACACTGTGCATAAACCTGAAAAACACAACCTGCATAATGAAACATGCTGGTTGCAGCATCTTACAGTTGGAAACTACATAAAGGTCAATTTAGGTTTATAACCAGCTAGAAACTGCAAAAAGACTTCTGGGGTTGGAGGTTCACATTTTCCCCAGGTTAAGGTAACTTAACCTACATGTAAACACAAATGCACATACTAATTTCAAATTCAGTTTTGTATTATTGTAAATTAAGGTATATCTTTCTAATTCTACTTTACAACAATGCAAAGTTTCATATAAAATCCAAATAAAGAACTCTAATGTTTATGACTGCAATGTGCAAAATAAAACTGACAAAGTAGAATATGAAACCTTTTAAAATGCAGTGGAGGCAAAAAAAAAATACGTACGAGAAAGGTTTATAGGAAAAAACATAAAACTGACATAATCCAGTTTCAAACAACAGTGGAAAGAAAAGTTTAAAGCTCAGGCTAATGACCTTAAGAGCTACTTAATTGTTTGCACTAATATAATTTCATTTTCTCTTTTTCATAAGATGTGTAATTACTGAATTGTTTGGCTCAATGTTGAGCCCAAAGGCATGTTACCATGTCACCCTCAGAGTGTTGGGATCCTCAGGCTTGCCCACCAGAGGGCGCTGAGGATCCTCTTCTGCTCTCTTTGTCTTTTCTTTAGGGCTGGAGTCACTGTTAAGGTTCTGGAGATTACCCTCTGCCTCCAGCAGAGTGCGCCGTGGGTCCTCCTGAGCTGAGCCTCCCACACACCTGTGGCTGATCTACTCATCAGGAGGACCACAGTATTTAAGCTGCCTTCAAACCTTGATTCCACGCCGCAGTGTTGATCTTAGTTGGTTAGCTTCCTGAGCCTTCAGTTTCAGATTGAGTCTTGGTTGTCTCTAGGTTGAGATCACATTCTAATCTCTCCTTTATCTGTGCCTCACAGGATTCCTGTTCCTTTGTGAATCTCTGGATGAGCTTAACCTCCTGTCTCTTTGTGAAGCTCTGGATGAGCTTAACCTCCTGTCTCCTCGTAAGCTCAGGAAGAGCAACCTCACTGGAACCCTGTCTCTGGTCTGCAGCTCAGGGAGAGCAGCATCCCAGGAAACCAGTCTCAAGCCTGAAGCTCTTGGAAGGTCTAACCGGCTAATCTGCCCTGGTGAGCCAACCCGAAGATTTCTACGTGGATGAAACCTGACGACTTCTCTGAGGGGTTTCCCTAGAGGTTCCCATGTGGATTTCCCCTGTTGTTCCCTACGGTGAGCTGGAAGCTCAGCCTGAAAGACCCTCCGTGTCTTCCCCAGTTGTTCTCTGCAGTGAGCTGGAAGCTCCAACCCAGGATTGCCAGACTAACCCTAAGCTAGATACTTAGCCACACCTGAACTCAGCTACCAGCCTTCTTCCCTTCCTTGCACAGTCCCCAGTGAACCAGTCCCCTGCCTGAATTGTTCCAATTATTTCCATGTGCTTGTGACAATAAACATTGTTAACCTTTCAACCAGTTTCCTTCTCCGTGGTGTTCTGCATACTTGGGTCACTTTAGAGAACCCACCATGACACAGAGGTGCAGAGAGTACCAATAATTATACTCCAGTAAAATAGATCAAAGTAGTCACCAAAAGAATTACTTAAACAAAAAGTTACCCGGTTAAACTGCAACTCCATTTCTGAGAAATTATTGACTTTTAACATGATTTTAATTACACAATCATACAGAGTTTAATGCAGAAAAAATAAATAAATAAATATCAATAAATAAAATGATTACAAAATAACAAACTCAAACAGAAAAAAATGTTTTTTAAATAAAAATTTTCAGCAGAACCTTTTAAAAGAATCAACCCTTACAGTTTATAAATCACTGGGGTAAACACTAGGAAAGGCCTTCCAGCGACAACAGCTACTGTTTACTGTATTTTAACTTGATCTTGAATAGCTTAAGTTACATGTTGTGGGTAAAGCAACTGGATATTTTACTCATAAAAGAGAAATAATCATCTCAAAAAGAATATTACTTTAGAAATAAAAAGCATGTTAAAAAAAAATACAAAGTACTAAATAAATGTACTAAGTTAAGACCCACCTCTGGTCATACTCAACTCAATTCAACCAGTCACTAAATAAATAAAAGCAATGCAATAAATCATTTCCTTGTGGTGTCTGCAGTTCAATGCAGTGAGGAATGCTCTGAACTTTATATTGGAGAAACCAAACAACCTCCACAGACGCATGGCCGAACACAGAAGAACGACCACGGGACAAGACGCTCCGGTACATCTACTATTTATGGACAAAGGACATTCTGTTGAGGACCAGAATGTTCACATTTTGGTCAAAGAAGACAGGTGGTTTGAGAGGGGTGTGAAGGAAGCCATCTATCGTAAATCCTCTAATATTGGCCTGTATTCCATTAGCAGCCGGGTCTCTAATAATGGCCGGTTTTACTGTCGGCGGGGGTAAATAATGGCCAGACGCTAATACAGGCCGGGGCTATAATTGGAACCAACGATGTTCCTGTGCAGTCCTCAGCAACCTTTGATAGTAACATGCAAGTACCACAGGGGGACAGTGTTTGTTAACGAATCCAATCCATTAACTTGGGAATTCCCATCCTTAGCTCAGACAGTGCTGCAGACAGGAGGCTGGATTGTTTGGTTTTTATGACCGGCTGTGATGGCAGAACAGTTTCCATTCATTTATTTTAAAACTTTGTTTGGCCAAGAATCCATTCTGTGTCTTTTTTTTTGTATTGCCGTGCAGAAAAATAGCAGCTGCTGGAAGATGTCTGAATAATGTTCTGTAAACCGTTATGGTAACTGTACTTTTTCAATAAATTAACCTAGTATTTTATCGGTTCAAAGAGACACAATCTGTTTTTATTCATTCCACTGGTCGTCTGTTTTGATCAAATAGAAATAGAGGCCTGCCTCTAATTCTGGCCTCCTTCCAATAATGGCCTGGACCAAGATGCACCTGAGTGAAATAAAGGCCCCGGCCTATATTAGAGGATTTACGGTATGTTAAGAAAGAAAAACACAACCTTAAACAGAGGGGGTGGACTCAGATTTCAGCTTTTAAAAACCTACAACACAGGGATAGAGTTGATTCCTTCCCGCCATCACTGCAACCCCGACCCCATGCAGGGGAACAGGACACCTCACCTGTTCAGCCAAGCCAACAATTCCATCTAACAACCTCCCATTCAGAGACATAGACAGGTATCAGGCATTGAGAACCCAAACAACCCCCATTCCTAAGGGGCGGACCCATTCGTCCGGTTCCATTTACATGTTTTCTAAGCCAAAACAAGGCTTTGTTTTGGTCTCCTCTATAAACCCTCGAACTCAACACAATTTCTGACATTTTGAATTGAAAAAGCTTCCTGGATGGAAACTGAAACGTCTTCAAACTTGGAAACAAAGTCCACTGATTGTTTTTCAACTTTTTGGGAATTTATAGATTATAGATGCTAATTATTTCTATTGTCAGGCATTTTACTCACCTTTGCTTCAATCGTAATCCGATAAAAGGAGCTCAGTTCGTTGTAATCAAGCTTTCCCTTTAATTTCAAATCACCAGTAATCTCATCGATTTCAAACAAATCAGATCCATGTGCGGGTGTTATCTGAAAAAAGAAAATGCAATGATCTGACTTTGAAGAATTTAAAAGACATTACTACATAAACATTAATGACTGAATCCTGTGTAGAACCTTACTTCAACAATTGAGTATCTAACATTGCCAGCGTCTCCTTGATCAGGATCATTGGCTTGATACCTTATCACTGTCGAACCCACAGCAGCATTCTAGAGGAAGAAATAAAGTGAGAAAATAATTTTCAAAAAGTGCATTTTCTGTTATTCGGAGCTAATCCTGAAAGACAATACCAGACTTAAAGGACAGGATTTCCTCTGATAGAAAACCGCCATTTTTATTTTATTAATCTACTTACTTCATTAATTGGTTTGTCGTAGGAAGATAGACTAAACTGGGGGATGTTGTCATTGGCATCTTCTAATATTATGGTTAGCTTTGCTGAAGTCTGAAAAACACAATACACATTGTGAATACAACAAGAAATCTACTTTGCAAGAAAAATAACAACAGCTTAAGTGTAACTTACAGGATTTACGCCATCTGAGACAGAGACTTCGAGGTTTAATGTGATAGAAGCCTACAACAGATGAATAAAACATACATGCTTAGACAAAAAAATCAGCTTTTTTATCATGCAAAGGCTCCATTGTGTCAAATATCCAACCTCTCTATCAAGGGTACTTTTCACTGTCACCGCCCCAGTGCTTGGATTAACTTCGAATTTATCACTGGGGGCATTAAGCCAATAAGTCAGGGGTTGTCCTTCTGGGTCTGATGCTGCTATTGTAAAGGCAACCACTCCTGTACAAAAAATTATAATAAAAACATTTTTTTTTTTTTATTTTGAAGAAACAAATGCATGAAATTTTAAATTTAAAAAAATACATTTGTTATTGTTTGAAGCCAGTATATACCTATGGGAGTGTCTTCACACACTTCATAAACCACAGTGGTGATCGAGGGGGCTAAATTAGCTGTAGAGACAGAATGTAAAATTAAGTGTGGATGTAAGCACGCAATTTAAAATATACAGGACACAAAAAGTTTAAAATAAAAATGTTTAAACCAGGAAAGCAATCATATTCTATAAACCCACCTTTGCCTGAGCAGAAAAAGCACAGTAGCAGTAGCCATCCTGTTAGTCCACCCATGACTGCAAACAACAAGGATCATTAAAACAAATGGAGACTACTTTGCAATATTGCTCATCATTCAAGACAAAGTGTAAAGAAACAGAACAGATAAATTAAAGATATTCTGCCTAAATTCAGCAGAAACCACTAAACTTTAAGTTTGAATAAAAAAATAGGCTCGTATGTAAGTACAACAATGATTCTAAGGTTAAACATATCATTCATATTTATATTCAGTGACAGGATGTAGAAATGGAAATACATAGACAAGATATGCTGCATGCTAAATGTGTTTGCTTTTCTGGCTGTCAGTAAAATGCAGATTTAAATGACAACCTGTCTAATAGATTGCTAGAGGTGAGGTGTGAGATAATAAATTCACTTAAACATTACATTTAGAGTTTTAGCTGTTATTAGATGCACTCCTGTATACTTATACAGAACATTAACAAATTATCTTGTTGAATAAAAATAAAAGAGAAGTTTTGTCTTTCTCCTATTGAATGCTAAACTAAGGTTGAAATATGGAAAGACATCCACATCTGATTTCCTATACATGTCTAAACATCATTGCAGGTGATTCAGAGCTAATTCATTTGGGAGTTTCTTAGTTTAGGTTCGCATGAAAAAATACAGTTTTCATCATATTTTCATTTATTGATAAAGACAAATACCAGTGAAGCATTCTGCTGTGAAAAACAAGGCCATGGCTTTGAAGGGTCATAACTGAACAGGAAATGCTACTAAATTGATTAGACACTTTAAGAAGTCTATAAGTTTCATAGTTCATGGACTTGGAGCCTTGAGAGGGCCATGAGGAAGCATCTTGGGCTTTACCTGACAAAGTTGCCTTCCTGCAACCACAAATTTTATTTCCTGATAAGAAAACAACCTCCGCCTACTGGAACATCTGATTTCTGACCTCAGTAAAAATCTTGCATAAACACTTGGATTTCCTTGTTTGCTCTGTGTTTCTAGGTTACCAAATTTCCTTGTCCTACGACAACTGAAATTTATAGCTATATTTTTCACAAATATTCTTAAGAACATCAACTTTCTTTTATTAGTTTAATGAGATAGTGGTGACCAGGTAAATGTTATTGGCCACAATAACAGACTTACCACTTATTTTCCTCTTTAGTCTAAATATGGTCTCATTTTTACGGAAGAGGATTAGGGCCAGTGAAAAAAAAAAGTTAACTGATTTTTAAATTTTATTTCAGTTTAGTATTGGAAAAAAGTCAGAATTCTGACTTTTTTATTGTCAGAATTCTGAGATTAAAGTCAGAATTCTGAGAAAAAAGTCAGAATTTTGAGATTAAAGTCAGAATTCTGACTTATTTCCAATACAAAACTGAAACCAAATTTAAAAATCAGTTAACTTTTTTTTTTTCTACTGGTCCTAATCCTCTTCCGTACATTTTACATTTCAACCAAGATGGTGGCAAAACAAGGACCTTCCTGAACGCCTCAGAACAAGAACAGGCTTTAAATGTTATGTGATGTCAGACTGACTGTAAAGTTGATTATTACAATGTTGTTATTTGGTCCTTTCCGCAATAAAGAGCTAAAATAGTTTTATAACCTAATTCATGATGGTTGAAAATGAAAAAGCAAAATACCTGTCAGGCCATACCGAGCAATTGAGAAAAGTAAACCGATGGTTGAAATGAAAAAAAAAAAAAGGTTTATTGCTATGAGGCTGAAATAATGGTGTGTCCTGAATTCAGAAGAACAGTGTGGGAGTGATAACAGACACTCATCCAAACAGGAAAATATAAGGAACACACTACAAATTATTAAAAAAAACTGTTAAGAAACTTTACAGTTTTTTCTTTTTTTTACTTGAATGATGAAATACATTTAAGCTTCTGAATTTTCCTCTTGCCCAGAGCTGACATAGTTAGGAGTCTTTCAGGATTTTGGCACTGAAAAGCTTCTGTTCAAACAGTAATATAACCGCAGTATCTCTAGCATGAGCAAAAGAGGACCCTCAATCTGTTATTAGGTCACTTGCAACAAAACGTATAACTTTTTAACCTTTTCCAGGGCGATACATTTGTTACTAAAATTTTAATAAATTCAAAACCAGCTGTTTCAGATAAGCACTAATAGAAACGAACAACAGTTGAAAATATAAAACCAATTTCTAAAGCCCCTAAAAGGAGTATGCTGGTATTAAATACTTAAATAACTTTAATTCGTGGAGCTCCAACTTACCTGGGGAGATTTCTAGAGGGCTTTCTCGTACTGATGTGTGGATAGGACCTTTGACTCTTGTTTCTCCCAGTTATGATGGTGTCAGAGCTGTAAACATGAATCATTAACATGCAGAGAGACACGCAACCAACATCGCCGCTCCTGATCTCCTCCCTCGTAATTAAAAGAATGACAATCTTGTCAAAGGGTGGAAAAAGAGTTTGAAATAAACGTCATAACCAAACTGATGAATGTCTACTTATAGCCTGTATAATCTAGCTTTTCATAAGGAAACTACACCATGAAGCAAAGTCCTCACTTCATCTCTGACGGGCTGTCTCTGTCACCAAAACATTTCTGGTACTGTAGTCCAGTGGGTCAACACCAAAACTACATGAGGCTCTGAATAGGCTCTGAATCTGTTGACACGGTAACAGCAAAAGACAGTCTCATTGGATCCACATCTTTACTACGTAGATCCAATGAGACTAGAAGTTTTTTCTAAGATTTGTCTGTTCAAAACCAATCAGTACAACAGTGTCTGTGGATCTGTGTCATAATGAGGGATCCCTTCTGGTCCCTTGCTCTAATTAAGGGGCCCTGCACAAAGGGTTATGGTCTGTTATATTCACCCGCTTCACTCATTATCAAATATTTGTTCATACACAACCGGACCTTAGTGTTTACTGTGAAACAGAGCACTTGTCTGTAAAGAAATGGTACATATGAACATACAGTACAAATAAAACGCTTTTTGATCTATAAAGGTGTTTTATTTTTTATTCCTGAGTGATAGACCAAAGTAAAGTAATGTACAAATCTGAAAAGTGTGGGGTGCTTTTAAAACAGTTTGAGTCGGAACATTCTCAATATAGTATGACGCAACCAGTTGCTTTTAGATGTGAATCGCATTTATCTGTTTATAATCTAATCTTTGGATAAATCCAACAATTTTTGAGGGCCTCCGTGCTTTATTAGCAAACATTAAAGGACAAACTGCATCATGGAAACCAAGCAGCAGTTAGAGATAAAGGTGTGGGGAAGATTAAAGCAGGAGTAACCAACTGGCAGTTTTAGTCCATAAGGCAGACACTCTGTCTACTTTTAAGACTAGGTTTAAAACTTTATTAGGTACCCCATGCTAGTAACGGGTTGGACCCCCTTTTGCCTTCAGAACTGCCTCAATTCTTCGAGGCATAGATTCAACAAGGTGCTGGAAGCATTCCTCAGGGAGTTTGGTCCATATTGACATGATGGCATCACACAGTTGCCGCAGATTTGTCGGCTGCACATCCATGATGCGAATCTCCCGTTCCACCACATCCCAAAGATGCTCTATTGGATTGAGATCTGGTGACTGTGGAGGTCATTTGAGTACAGTGAACTCATTGTCATGTTCAAGAAACCAGTCTGAGATGATTCCAGCTGTATGACATGGCGCATTATCCTGCTGAAAGTAGCCATCAGAAGTTGGGTACATTGTGGTCATAAAGAGATGGACATGGTCAGCAACAATACTCAGGTAGGCTGTGGCGTTGCAACGATGCTCAATTGGTACCAAGGGGCCCAAAGAGTGCCAAGAAAATATTCCCCACACCGTGACACCACCACCACCAGCCTGAACCGTTGATACAAGGCAGGATGGATCCATGGTTTCATGTTGTAGACGCCAAATTCTGACCCTACCATCCGAATGTCGCAGCAGAAATCGAGACTCATCAGACCAGGCAACGTTTTTCCAATCTTCTATTGTCCAATTTCGATGAGCTTGTGCAAATTGTAGCCTCAGTTTCCTGTTCTTAGCTGAAAGGAGTGGCACCCGGTGTGGTCTTCTGCTGCTGTAGCCCATCTGCCTCAAAGTTCCACGTACTGTGCGTTCAGAGATGCTCTTCTGCCCACCTTGGTTGTAACGGGTGGTTATTTGAGTCACTGTTGCCCTTCTATCAGCTCGCACCAGTCTGGACATTCTCCTCTGACCTCTGGCATCAACAAGGCATTTCCGCCCACAGAACTGCCGCTCACTGGATTTTTTTACTTTTTTGCCACGTTCAAAGTCACTCAAATCACCTTTCTTCCCCATACTGATGCTCGGTTTGAACTGCAGGAGATTGTCTTGACCATGTCTACATGCCTAAACTACTAACTACTGAGTTGCCGCCATGTGATTGGCTGCTTAGAAATTAAGTGTTAACGAGCAGTTGGACAGGTGTACCTAATAAAGTGGCCGGTGAGTGTATATGCTGCTATAGGCTTAGGCTGCTGGAGGACATAGGGACCCCCTTTTTCATCAATCGAATTCATTCTATCTCTATTCTCCCAATCTGCAAAATGTGTTAGTTCAATCTCTAACGTTCTGCTCTCTCTGCTTTTTCCTCATAGTAGCTTCATCTGGTCGGCTCCTGTTTGGCTGTGACTCCATCCTGGAGAGAAATATCAGCTGTGCTGCTTCCATCAACACCTTTGTTTATAGACGTTTGAGCTTGGCAACTCACACTGAGCCTGGTTCTGCTGGAGGTTTCTTCCTGTTTAAAGGGAGTTTTTCCTCTCCACTGTTGCTACAAGTATGCCTAGTGTGAGGGATGGCCTTAGAGTCACTGTTTCGATGCAATTAACTGGTTTTCCTTAGATAAAAATCTTTAAATCAATTTGACTGTATGATCTGGTTGAACTGTATCTGTAAAGTGCCTTAAGATGACATGTTGTGAATTGGAGCTAAATAAATAAACTGAATTGAACTGAGTAAGTTAGAAAATAATAGTCCATTTCTAAAACTCTTACAGAGTACTATTTAATCCATCTTCCAAAAATAGAAAGGAGTAAGCCACAACTGAAAAACTATGATACTTTGTAATCTATTAAAATGGACCAGCTATTCATAAAACCAACCAAGAAATCTATTCTGCAGAGATCCACAGCTCTGATGGGAGATTATATTAATAGAGTAAGTATGAATTATGCAACATTAAGGGCTTTTAGGGAAGAGTGTAAAAAAAAAAAAAAAAACATTGTTGAAAGGAAGCCATACAAATTACAACAGTTGCCAAAAAAACGGAGTATGTGCTAAGATGACTCTCTGGTGAGATCATACCATGTTTCATTTTTATAACCACCATAAAAAGATATAATGGTTAGTGTAAAACTGACACCCTGAACACACCCTCTCCATGGTAAATGTTATGGTAGCAGCATCAGTGGGGTTCCATTTTTTTATTTGGGACAAGATTACAATTTTCATGAGAAAAATGTCTGCAGCTAACCTCAGAGAAATTATGGAAGATAGTGTGTTGGTGGCTCCAGAAGTCTTCTGCCTGGCATGGAGATTCACCCCCTAAGCAAAGCTTAGGCACTATATAGCCGTGATGTCATTTTAAATGAATGTCTGAATGTCTAGTGGATGAAAAAGTAGTGGACTCGAAAGTTCCTGTAATGCACCTTCAAAAGTAGTGATCATCCATGGTCACTAGACGAGCAGATATATCCCAGATTGCTTTGTGAGAGCTCTCCTTTGTTGTGATGGCAAAAAATGCTAAGGATGGCACAGCACCGTTGCGGTGGAGTCATGTGACCAACGGGGAGTGAAAAGTAGTGATCATCTGTCCGAATGGTCAGTTAAAGGAATAGTACACCCAAAACATGATTAGCCTTCATTTTCTACTCACCCCCATGCTGAACAACACCCTGGAGTACTTTTTTGATATCTCAAATGCATCTTGAGATCTGGGAGGCTTCTTGTTGTCTGCTGACATTCAAATAATGGTCTATGGTGCCCGAGACAGAAAGGTCCATAAAAGTCCACAAAAAACGTGTCAATATTCCTCCATACTGCTCGTCCAATGTATTCCAAGTGTCCTGAGTGGGTAGCATCCAGAATTTACTCAAAACGAAGTCATTTAGAATGTTTTTAGAGCATAAACAGTAGTGTATAGGATTTCCTGAAAGCGCGCACCTGCGCGTTCACGGCGCTACGGAAACCGCGGCAGACCAAACCAGATGAAAGTGCGCATTCAGCGTCTGCTCTGCCGATAATGCAAGCGTAGAAGCTGAAATGTGCTGTTTACCTGTGCAAAGAAAGAAACAACGAAAGAAAAATGTCTGAGGACTTCAGTGTTGAGGAAGAGCATGAGTTCTTTGCTGAGCTGAATGCGCACTTTCGTCTGGTTTGGTCTGCCGCGGTTTCCGTAGCGTCGTGAACGCGCTTTCAGGAAATCCTATACACTACTGTTTATGCTCTAAAAACATTCTAAATGACTTCGTTTCGAGTAAATTCTGGATGCTACCCACTCAGGACACTTGGAATACATTGGACGAGCAGTATGGAGGAATATTGACACGTTTTTTGTGGACTTTTATGGACCTTTCTGTCTCGGGCACCATAGACCTCCATTATTTGAATGTCAGCAGACAGCAAGAAGCCTCCCAGATCTCCAGATGCATTTGAGATATCAAAAAAGTACTCCAGAGTGTTGTTCAGCATGGGGGTGAGTAGAAAATGAAGGCTAATCATGTTTTGGGTGTACTATTCCTTTAACTGAGTTCACTATAAAGTCCACTATATAATGGCCGCTCTATACAGGGATTAAAGGATTTAGGGTTTAGGGCGGATGTTCGGACACAGTCCAAGTCAAAGTACAAGACTTCAAAATTGATGTTCAAAGATACTATGCATCCAGACTGTCTGAGCACCTTTGTTACTTTCTCAACAATATATGTCTGTATTTCCCATAATAAATAATTGTTCCAGTAAATTTATAGAGTTTTTTTTGAAGACATAATGATAAGCATTAATTGTCTTAACATATAAGTTCCAAGAGACAATATTCCCCACATACAGGAGGGTAACAACAATATTGGTTCTGGCTTAGTTTTTTGTTGTTGTGTTTTTTTGCAGAACAAAATAATAATAAAATAAAAATGAAAAAGAAACTGTCTAATATATTAAGTGAGTCAAAGAGCCACTTGTGGTACCGGATGTACAGTTTTCCTTTTTCTGACATAACAGATGAAAACTGTGATCCTATCTTATTAGTGCTGAAGCTAAAACTGAATCATTATTTAAAGTAAAATTGTATAGACAAAAAAGGAAATTATTATATATTCCATACAGGGGTTAAGACTCCTTTACAGGAACCCTGGCCCACGTTGGCCCCCATCTA